ATGTTCTCGACTAATAAATAGTCAAGAAATAATCTAGAGAAAATTAGTATGAAAATATATTATTTTCTTATGTTTCGTGGAGTTATTTATATAGAGCCGTGTATGCAAAAGAAAAACGGTGAATAAACAGTCGCTACACAGAACGCGACAAATCTAGGATACCCTATAGAACTTTCCTCAGTAAAATTACAGATGCTGGTGCCCATACAAGTGCTTGTTCAGTAAACATACTGCTATGGGTACCCAATGCAGTACCTACATTAGTATAATTACTAAGAATTTTCGAAGTACCCATATCGGGTACCTTGCTCAGGCTTTCTCAGTACATGGGTACCTTGAACTCAGTACTTTCTCTAGGGTAATGTTTTAACACTATTCTTCAGTCAATTTTGCAAAACAACAATTCAATCACATCATAAAATAACAAACACAAGCATAGCCGAAAATCAATGGAAATGTTTTCCTATTTGAACACTTATTCTGCATGCATACCTTTATATTATTCAGAAAAGCCCGTAAAACAGTAGATTTGCATGAAAAATGAATCAATTTCTGCATTAAAAATGATTAAATCTTAACCAGAACAATAAACTATGGGTTCGCAAGAAAAGGTTTTCCAAAGACCCTCTGAAGGCCTCATACAGACCTCGAAACTATGTCCATTGGATTCTTCATCAGTTTTTACCTATGTGAACAAATTTTCACTTGATTTGGATAAAAAATAAACATTCTATGTAAGAATGACCTCCCCCTTTTTCGTATCATACAGTAAAAACGATTTTTCTCAACATTGGAAAGAAAAGGAAAAAAAAGGATACGTAGTTTGATGACGGGTGATATGATGAATAGAATGAGATAAAATAACTGACTCCATCGTTTACATATAAAAAGTAGATAGGTTTACAAAATCGACCTATACGCATCATAGTCAACACAATTCGAAGCGCCACCACCAATAGAGTTTTGGGTCTAGAGTCGATTTACCAGCTTATCTATACTCAGTTTTTGATGCTGAATCTGAAAAAATTATTTTCAGAAGTTGAGAAAAAGAACGAGCTAGAAAATGTTGCACATTTTTGAAAAGCATGTGTTTTTGAAGAAAACGACACATTTGGAGTATATCGTATTTTTCAACCGGAAGGAAGCATTCACTCATGCTAAAAAATAGATTTTCGTGATCAGCAGCTCAAGCTCTATCAAATGATGTAAAAAAAGGCGAAAAAAATTTTTTACTCGAAGTGTGAATTGCCTGCACCTTACGTGCTTTGACGATCGACATTGTTCCAACATTTGTTTTCAGTTGGCGATCTGATGGGCTCAATTCAATCGTTGGATTCTCACCGACAGGAACAATTGCGCTGCTCGCTATCGCCGGACATTCGGCAATGGCAGTGAGTAAAGCTCCACTTTGTGGAAGTCGACACATGCATAGAATTATCCTGAACCTTAGAAAAAAAATCCTGCATTATTAAAAAAAGGGTTTTTGTTGATTAAGTATAGGAAAATCGAAGTGAAAAACATTAAAAACCTTTGTTTAAGACTTTTACCATCTTAAAACCCTTTGTTTTAGCGTTTTAGCAAAAAGACTTCTAGAAAACACATGGCCTTCTATTTTGAAATTTTTCTTCGGAGTGGCCTATCCCAATATCATAGTGGTTTGGGCATCCAGGCTTCCAGAGATCGGTTTTCTGGAGGAAAATCAGTTTTTCAGAAACTCTAAAAGATAACCAAAATCTTTCTTAATGAGACATGATTGTAACACATTTCTGATTAAAATGAGACATCTCCCAACTCTACACGACCTTTCTTTGCAAAAAGTAATTTAAGGCTTTTCTTGTAAATTCTATAACTTTGCAAAGAAAGGTCATGTGGAGCTGGCAGACATCTCATTTTAATCAGAAATATGTTACAATCATGTCTCATTAAGAAAGATTTTGGTTATCTTTTAGAGTTTCTGAAAAACTGGTTTTCCAGAAAACCGATCTCTGGAAGCCCAGATGCCCAAACCACTATGATATTGGGATTCAGCACACTCGATTACCTATTTTCCACTAGGTTTTGTGAAAAAAGCAATCAGACAGTTGGAGTGGTTTCCTCATTAGATATACCCATGTGATTCTTATATAATAAAACACCTTCTTTATGTGAAAGACTGCTACCCATCCAAGAGTGATATAATCAACTAGTGCACAATCATAGTTTCTCATGAACAAGACGTTTTTGAGAAATGCGTTTATTCGCAGCATTGTCTCTTGATCTGAAGCAAGCTTCATCATTGGCTTTAATGTAGAAATAAGCAGCGAAAACAACAAGGATAATCAACCAAATAGTCTCATATTTATTAATTTCCTTTTGCATAAATAGAACAAATATTTTCGTCGAATCGATGATGATCAATAACGTAAAGAATATTTTCTACAATTTTTGATCCACCTTGAACGTCAGGTTCAATATGATTTGCATAATCCTTTGGATCGTTAAAGATTGTTTTAAGATCAATAACAGGAATGCCGCGCTACAAAAGAAAAGAAGTTAAAACTTTTATTATACAGATTCATTTATACTTTAATCGATTCCGTAATGATAACATGATTCAGTACTGATAATCCAGTTTCACACATACGCTGCTGTTCAGGATTATCAAAATTCGGATTGTAGATCGTACATGTTGTTGTAGGAATTTTACATTCACTAACATGTTTTAGCATTTCAGCATAATCCTATGAAAATAAAGATTGACTACAACAAAAATAATAATCAACCTGTTCTTCATACTTTTTCAAATTGCTTGTTTGATTCGCTTAATAACATTAATCCTTCGCCAACATTTTGAACTGATTTCCGTAAAAGTTGCATATAGGAAAGAGCATCATTTCCACCTAGAAGTATTTAAATATAATTTTGCTGTAAAATAAAATAAAGCAAATTATACCAATTGAAATAAATAAATGTGTAGCATCTTGTGGTATTCTTGTTAGTTGAGTAGATATATGTGAAATCGAATGTCCATCCACAGCAACTGATGTTACGTTCCAACCTCGTTCTTTAGCTTTTAGTTTGAGTTGATCGATAATAGCAGGATTGCCTTTGCCTACATAAAATCCATTGTCAAGTGTACTATCACCGAGTAAAACAAGATGAGGAATGGCAGCCCCCATATTTCTCACTTGAGGTATGAATGATAGGAGAATCGATTCTGTTGAGACAAATATATATATATATACTCTGTTCATGACTCATCCATGTGCCACGAAGACATTATTTACCTAAGTCAGTCGCTCGAGTGTTATTCGTGAGCAAATGAGTCATAATAATTTTTTCTTTCTCTCATACGTCGACATATTATTTCTCTTCATACAAATACAAATGCAAAGATAACCATTGGGTGAGAATCCATATAATACCTATAACGTTAGATAAAAGTTTGTGCTCCAGTGACGCCAAAGAATTTTCTGATGCAGTTTCGGTCGCTGATTCCAATGGTGAAAACCGCAGCTCTCAAGCTTATATAGAAAAAAGATTTACAAGCTTTTTATTTTTTGGAAAGTAGCATTTTTCGCTGTTTTCCGGCAGATTTTGCAAAATTGCAAAGGCTCTAGAAAGCGCATCTTCGCGTGTAGAACCTTCATTTTTTGCGTCATATAAAACAGGAAGTCAAGCTCTATATGTTCCGATAAAAAATATTCATGTGAATACTCAGGATCGGGTGGAGCGGGATTCTAGAAACTAGGCAGGTTTTCCAAGTATGCTAAAAAATCAAAAACAAAGAAGTTCTTCTGATTATGAAACACTGTACTGCATATATGTAGTACAGACTATGTATTTTTTGTAGCGGTTGAACGGTTGTGACACAATCACAACGAGTGATTCGTTTTTTTCTATTTTATTAACCTGACCGGTTTTCGAATTCTTCTTCAGAGGTTAACAAAAAACTGTATGCTGGCAACATAAAAAACAAGTATGAACGTCAACCGATTCATCCTAGACTCGTTTTACCGATGATCGATAATTTGCACAAAAAGTCGAAAGTACTATTACAAATTATTTGGGAAAGAAGCTTTGCTCAAGACCAATGCAAATATGCACAGACTTGCACATTGTTACAGAAACAACAACGTGCAGACAGACAATGTAAAAATGAGATACTGTTTAGGCAGACAGATAAATCTAAAGTATTGAACATTGATTTACCTCAAAATTATGAGAAAAGATCAGACATCTATATGCCTAGAACCGACGCCTATATAGAAATAAATGAACATCCATTGAAAAGAATGATTCAAAGTACGAACTTGCTACTAACTGACTTATTGAGCAAAAAATGTATATCAAAAACAGTATACGAGAAGTTGAAACCACCTCAAGACTGTGAGTTATCTCATTTATATTATAACCCGAATGACCATAAACCAGGCGCACCATTGGGAGCAATAGTAGTGCAGATAAAATCCCCTGTGGCACGTATATACGTATTTTTAGACAAAACATTCAGATTCATATTTGAACAACATACGGCTCATTATATATTACAGAATATTTTACATATGGAGAAAAGCTCTGCAAACAAATAAAGGGAGGCAGTGCTGTAACTCAGGCATTGGCAGGCGCATACATGTATGAATGGAAGAAAGACATCTTGGCACAACAGGCTGCGAAAACCAGTTATACCTGCGTTTCAGAGACGATATTTATATCACCTCTAGATTGAGGGCAGAAAAACTTGAGGAGAGATTAAAATTTTACAACGAAAAGGACTCACATATAAAATTTACGTATGAGATAGGCAAGGCAGCTAATTATCTGGATGTCACAATTTCTGTACGTTGCCCGATGGCACGACCGATAGTCATGGTAGGTTATCCGTTGATGCCGAACTTAGCAAGAATCTTAATTCAGAAGAAACCCTCATCTTCAATATTGCAAGGAGTAGAGAGATCAAATTCTTGAGGCCAAGAACGTTCTCGACGAGATGTGAAATATGTGTTTAGTGATAAGAAGAGAGGTATATAATGCCATGGCTGGCCAACACCAAATTACAACTTCTATACTAAAAATATTTTTCTTCTACTCATTCATTCATACATTATTGATTATTGAAACAAAATTGAACATGTTTTTTGGAGGTAATAACATGATTTTCACGCAAAGACGGTGCAGCACGTCGATGGTAAACACAAAGAGACGTTGCATGTAGTTATCAATAATGAAGTAGGCAGACGCCTAGATGAGCATCGAAAACAACTTGAAGATCTTGCCCACCGGATACATCCGACATAACGAGATATTATATTAATCATGCGTATTGTGGCAGTCGCCCTCATGTTGGCATATGTTATTGTAAAACTTGCTTTGACAAGTAAATTCAAAAAGCTGATCTTATTACGAAGGATGTTGTCGGCATATCAACAAATCCCACAGATTCTACCGGTATACACTATGCCAATGGAACAATATGAGCCGCTCAGACGAATAGAGCCGGTACGACAACCAGAACCGGCAAGACAACCAGGGCAGCCAAGACAGGTTGCACCTTAAAATCGTGAATATTAACAATTGACTCCGTGACCGGAATATAAAGACATTTTTAAGTCAAAAAATTACTTCGGCAAGTAAAAAAACAAATAGCAAATGTATGTCAATAGAACGAAAATGAGTATACATTCTTTCATGCGCAGAACGATCAATCACCAGAACATCGAAAGACATTCCATTTCATTACATCATTTTTATCTATGTATAGGTAAAAAATATAATGGACTTATAAATTAAGATTTCTGCTCCACCAAAGCGGTTAGCTCCTTTTAAGCTTTCTCAAATAATGGTTGCTTTCCAAAATAATGGAATCTGATACAGATTACTAGTCACTTTTCCGACTCCTGTCAATACAACGATTTGAGGAAGAAAGAAGAAAATTAACATCACAAAAGTGTGTACTAAAAGCTTCGCAGTAGTCCTAGGCCTGTTTTTCTTCCACTTCTTACTAAGCTCACTACACGATAGACAAGACAATTCATTAACAATTGGAAAAATAGTTTCTTTTTCACCTAATGTTTCATCAAATGTCTGTTATAAATGCATATTACGAATTTCTGATGCATATTTAAACTCTTTACTGAGCATTTAGTAGGTGTATGACAGTATTCGATGTTGAATCGAATGCTTGTTTTTGTTTATTCATTAACTGTTCTAATTTGGACTGGTGAGAAAAATACGTTGTTTGTTGATCATTTAATAGTAATATTTGTTGTTGAATTGCATTAACTACTATCCGTCCCAAAATACAAGACCATCAGTTACTTTTGGAATACCTCAATCACACTGAGAAATAGCGACCGGCGGTTTCCACCAACGTGTTGCTAAGACCCTAAGACATTTTTTTGTAAGCCGAAACCTGTTTCAAAATTTTCTGTAAATCCGGTTTTCCAGAGGATCTTTGGAAAATCATCGTCGTTCTCACAAAACGAGCATACAAAGTTAGTAATTTTTTGCCTCTAGCGAAGTTACTTTCATTTCTACACAAAAACAAATGCTGCCACTATGGACCGGAGTAACAGAAAATTTTGAAACAATTTTCTGCGTACAAAAAGTGTCTTAGGGTCTTAGTAACACGTTGGGAAACCCGCAGGTCGCTACTTATCAGTGTGACTAAGTTATTCCGAAAGTAACCAATGGCCGATCATTTGTGTCCGTGTTTGAGCTTGCTGTTGCAGGATCAACCAGCCTTGATTAATTGAATTTATGTGCTCTTTATATTTCCGTTCAATTTTAAGTTGTTCTTCTCTATACTCTTCTACCAATTTCAGGAATTATCACGCATTCTTTTGACGGTTTCATTTATGTTTTTACTCATTGTTACATTGGTTGTATTTGGATAGTCCAAAACTAATTAATTAATGACGATATTAGTGAATGACTGGACATTTAAAGTCAATTGCTGTGTGATCTCCACTACAGTGGCGGCATCTTATATTACATTTTTTGTGATTAGCACCACTATCACGGTCATCTCCACATTGCCTACAAACTTCAATGACGCAAATGAACATGATTTTTAATAGTATGACCTGGTCTGTTACATTGACAGCAAACAAGTAATTCTGGTGCTAGTAGAAATTTATCTATATCCACTAATTGACCATAGAACGGAACTTTCCCACCGTTCAATACTCTTTCTTGTCTAAAGAAGCAATTCTGACGTGACGACTATTATTATTCATTGTTCCCGTTATGTCTTGGATACTGTTAATTGATTTTTATTATTCAGGTTCCTTATTTGAAACGGTATTTTTGACATATCGCAAAATTATTGGTAGATACTTAGGAGCATGAGGTGTAATTTTCATAAGTTTAATTTCTTTTGGACAGCGACTTTTGTTGCGTAGATATACATATAACTTGATATCTGTAGTAAGTCCTTGAATATTTCCTTCTTTATCTATCCACCATGTATCGAAACCTAAACGCTTTGAATGTGTTTAATTATGTTGATGAAGTTCGTTAAAATATAATGGAAAAATTGTTGTATAACTTTACTATCAGAGTTTTTATCATTAATTTTCGGATTACACACTAATTTGATGGGCTAAAAATGATGTCCTAGAATATCGCCACCGGATTCTTGACAGCCCAAATTCCGAAGGATTTTGGCAGTATTGTCGAATATACCAAACAAAGTCGCCGACAATTCCGACAATTGTAGAAAATCTAGAATAGAAGAATTTCTTCGCATTGTCATATTTACAATGAACTCCGAAAACTGCCGAAAATCCAACGGAATTTTGACGGTAATTTTCAGTTGCACTTGAAGTGAAATTTTTAAGGGTATACACCGTGCATAATAATAAAATAATACACTGTTTTTATAATCTATAATATGTGTTTTCTGAATCATACCAGAAATCATTCCAGTATTATGCGATCAGACTAGTAGATTATAAGTATTTCATTTCACTTCAGTTGCTAGTGAAATAATAGCTTAAGGACAGAGAGAGGCAGAGTGATGTCGGTGCTATTTGCAATTTGTCGAAATACCGATGGATTTTCAGCAGTTGTCGAAATTACAAGGACTTCAGACAATGGTCGAAAAACAACCTGAAATTCGATAAATGTCGAAAATATTGAGTACAAACAACAATGGCGAAATCCCAGCTACGCAGATCCTCCGTTTTACCGATAAAAATGATTTCTTAGTGCAAAATTCAAAGCTTGTTTCGAAATTTAGCCTCTGATTATCGTAAAATCAACTTTTTATATGCTGACCAGAATTGGTCTAAATTTTTTTTCTGGATATTGAATGAATGTACCGGCATCAAAGTATCACTTTATTCAAATCACTTTTCGGATTTTGGCGCGAACAGTGGCACGTTTAATAACAAAAAATATACAGTAAAATGGCGCCACTATTCGCGCTAAAATGCGAAAAGTGATTTGAATAAAGTGATACTTTGCTGCCCGTATATTCATTCAATAAGCTATTCACTTCGAGCAGGCTTTTGACCGAGTGAAGTGGACAAAGCTGATGGAGATCTTGAATAAGATTGGAGTGGACTGGAGAGATCGGAGGCTCATCGCGAATCTCTTCATGAATCAAACTGCGACGATCAAGACGGAAAGTGGAGACTCGGATCCGGCAGAAATTGGACGCGGAGTGAGACAAGGGTGCTTGCTGTCACCATTACTTTTTTCAATCTACGTCGAAATGATGGTGGTAGAAGCAATGGAGGGTGTGGAAGAAGGTGTTCGTGTTGGAGGAGAACTGTGGAAGGATGTAAAGTTCCCGGACGATCAAGGTATGGTGGCAGAGACGAAAGAAAGTCTTCAAAAGTTGATGGACGCAGCAAGCAGAGTTGGAAAGGCCTACGACATGAAGATCAATGTGAAAAAAACGAAAGTGATGAGAGTTTGCCGGAAAGGAAGCGAAATGGAAGGAGGCAATGCGGTACACATAGTAATAGACGAAGAAGAGGTGGAGCAAGTGAAGCAGTTCCGATACTTAGGATCGCTGATTTCGGAGGATGGTACATGCGACGGAAATCAGGTGTAGGATCGCAATGGCCAAGGATGCATTCAATAGGAGGAGAGAGTTGCTCACGAAGCGAATGAACAAAGACCTCAAGAAGAAGATCATCAAGACGGTGGTGTGGAGTGTCGCTCT